AAAAACCCGCATCTAAAATAGTATAAATAGAAGCAGAGTTCTTTACCGTAAGCCTTAATCCTAACCATCTCCCTTCAGTGGGGTTGAATTTCGACATGTATATTATATAAAAACACGTGCGTATTCGAATGCAGCCTTGTGTCAAAATTTCAAAGGAATTGGTAGGACAAACGAACATTACATTTTTATTTATATAAATAGATAGAAGATGATCTACTTTAGTTCATTTTCACAGAAAAGCAAACTTAGGGCATCATACTCGTAGCGCCATCTGTTGGACATAAAAGCCTTAACCATAGATGATATCATTTAATTTATATGAATGTTTAATGGAATAATATACAGCCTATGTCTACCCTGAAGTTCCATTCTAAATATTGGTGAAAGAATTTTTGAAATCGGATGAGTAGTTTCGGAGATTACCTGCTGCATACAAACTTACATACAAACATTACCTCTTTATAATATTAGTATAGATTACAAAAATAACCATGATACCATAAAATAATTTATTTATTTAATCTCTTATTAAATTTAATAAGAGAATAAATTTTAAGATTATTAAATTTAATAAGAGATGGTGCATAATACCTATCTCTAGTACCAAATTATTTAACTCAGTCATTGAACTCACTCATGTTACTATGATTCACATAATCAGTAGTCTCAAGTTAAACCCATCAAGCAAACTCGAAAGGCGAGCAAAAGTAGGTCATATTCACTTGTTTATGTGTGTCGTTAAGCATGATGGGATTATTTACAATGCATCTGGGTTTGCGACTATAATGATTTGACCAATCAACTTAACTGTAACAAGTTGTAAACAAATCAACATGAATTAGTTTACACATGTTATAGTTAAAAGTTTTGTCTTATAGCAATATAGTACACAGAAACAAAATGGAAACCTCCACTGTTTTATTTTTAAAAATTAAGCAAAAAGAACAAAAAGAAATATCAGTAACGTATATAGAAAATAATAAGAAAATGTACAGTGGAAAATTCAACATTGAATTTACAAGAAAAAGACAATTCGATTTGTGGAGAGAATTAGTTGAAAAATTAATTGTGTATTGGAGCTAAAAAGTCCAATGTGTAATGGAAAAAGTATTTTAATTTAATCCTTTCTTCATATAGTTTTCTTCGTTGATCTATTTCTTAAATTGTTGTTTATTAAGATTTGTTTATTTTATTAATCAGAACTTAACACTTCTGGTTAATAAATATTCTTAATATAGTGTCTATGCTCTTAATAATTTATACATATAATTTACTGTTATTTTAATTCTCTTTTTCAATGAATTAGATACTTCTTTTTATTTTCGGAAAAATTTGCTGTATAATTTTATCAATTATGAATTAAAATTCTTTTTATTAGTGTTGACTTGACATGAAAAGAAATGGCATCTATTCGCGGTCAAAAAATTTGTTGCCTTCTTAAACAACCCTTTCGGCTTTTTTTAAGCAATGGCCAGCTGTGTATCATGGTAGGTGATTATAGGATGTGGGTACTGAAAGTGTCTCTAGTCAGTGCCATAAATAACCAAAGATGATCATATCTAAATTAAATATATCTGGAAGGCAACATCAGATGGAGGTCTGTGTAGCATAACTGGCAACACATTCATTCTGTAATGGAAATTGTGGGTTCAAATCCCACTCCAGGCCAATTTCTTTCTTCCAGAATATTCTAAATTATTTATTAATTTAATTATAATTATTAAATTTAATAAGAGATGGCACCTAACACCTACCTCTAATACCAAATTATTTATAATTTAATTTAAAATAATAGCGGTAAAGTAGCCTGCTTTAATCCAGCAATCATTTAGCATATTACTAAAATATGGGCTTCAGAATGTTTATATGTAAAAGAGATGGTAATCAGGTTCATAAAACACTTCAGTTTTGATAAGATTGCCATTAAATTATATGTATAGATCCAAAATGTATACCTATGAATCACTCATTTGTTGCAGTTCAAGTTTTAGGCTGTAGTGGTTGTAATTTATGCACAACAGAAATCCATCAGTATCAGGTTTCAATATCCAAATAATACAAATGTCATTAATGTATTTTCTATAAATTAATATGTAAGGGAGGAAGAAAGGACCAACTTTATTCTCCAGCAGACCTACAACTAATTTACAGACGTCCCTATGGAAAGCATCCTCTGACAGGAGGCTTCCTATAGGAACATCTCTTTTTTTGTAGGAAGAAGCTGTGGTCAAACTGAAAGTAAGATGAATAAAAGGTGTGATAATTCCAAAATATGCTAGTGTAGTGTCAGATTAGTGACCTTCTTCATTAGCTAGTCACACAAAATGCAGAAACAAGACTGTAACATGATTGATAGATATATTGATTTAAAGTCCAAAATCATAATTTAAGCTCTGTTCATATTGGGGTGGTGGATCATAACAAGTCAACAAATTGTTTGGAGTTAGTTATCATGAGATGGTAGTTATCCAAATTATAAGGAAGAATATTGTGCATGGCTTTTTCTAGATTTTGGGTATAGGATCTAACCTTGTCAAGTATTGGCCTCAGTTCCCACTACTTTTATGCATCTTAGCAAACACAAACAATTTAGGAATGTTGGGTGAGGCAATAACATCATCATCCAGGTGCAAAATTTTGGTTAGTTTTGATTGTGTAAACATTGAGACAAGCACCTGTAACTTGTCAACATAACTTTCATCAATTCTTACACTCAGTATCATTGATGTAACTGCAGTGTCACATTGTAAATGAACCTTTTCATCAGCACACAAGTTCAACTCTTGTCAGCCTTTTTTAATGAAATTACATTTATTTATATAGTACAATAAATTTAATTTTGAATAAAAAATTTTTTAAATGTTACGGCATATTTTCAAGAAAACAGTTTGTTTTTACTCATGGGTTTGTTGATTTAATGTTCTAACAAGTAGCTCTGAAATTCTAAGCATTTACAAAGTTGTTATATTAACAGCAAAATAGCATTATGATTACGAGAAAATGACCATGGCCTTCTCTACTGATCACTACATCACAATGAGTTGCTAAATCAAGGATTGCTATAAAGTGAGTATACTTATATATACTTTATAAACATAATTTCATAACTATTTGAATTATGATTGAAAATAAATCTTTCAACTTTGTTGTTAGGCAATCCACTGATGTAACTTTACTTGGGACAATAAAACACTCCTCATAATTTTAAGCAAAAAATCAATTAGGAAATTATAACTAATAATAAACTTTAAAAAAATTAAAAGCTATTGGCTATTTTTCTCAGTAAGACATCACACAAGGAGCATTTGTTGATATAGATTTTATTGGAAGAAATGCGTTTCGGATTTTAATGACACCTCTTCATAAAGAAAATATCAGGTAATTGACAGTCAATTACCTAATATTTTCTTTGATGTTAATGTCAATTTGTAACCAACAACCAACCATGTAAGTTATAAAACATTTTTTTATATATTATATTTATTATTATGTAACATGTAATCATTTTCTATCTTCCTTTGTAAAGTCTAAGAACTGAAGAGGGATTACTAAGACCCAAAATGCATTTCCTCCAATAAAATCTATATCAGCAAATGGTCGTTGTTTGATGTGTTACTGAAAAAAAAAAGCCAATAGCTTTTAATCCTTTAAAACCCACAACAAAACCAGTAACAGAAAATCTAATTAAATAATAAACTTATTTTATTACATTCTTTACAACATATTTCAAGTATTTTCAAGTTTATAGAATCTTCCTCATAGTCTCTTTTCAATATAAGAAAATTTAAAACTTTTGCAAAATATTCACAGAAATTATCTTCAAAGACTATGTTAACAAAAAATGTCAAATATAAATTTTTTGAATTTGTGAAAATTTAATGTCTTTTGTAAAATAATTCTAAATAAAAATCCTTCCATATTAAATAAAGTGTATCTATTACAAACTAAACTAAAGCAGTAATAAACTAAATTACAATTTTGCAATTGATTTCAGAAGTTTCAGAAATCTTCCAAAACTTTGTTTCAGATTTCTGAAACAGTTTCACATAAATCAAAAATCTATTAATTAATAAATTATTTTCATTTAAAAAATGTAGCAGAAATTAATTTATGATTAATTTAGACATCAAAATTCTGTAAAAAATGCAATTAAATAAATTTTTTAATGTTTAGAATTTATAAGTCTATTGAATTCTTTGATTTATCTCCAAATTATAATTATAGATAATGATAATAATAATACCCAAGAAGTTTTAAAAATTACTATATACAAAATGTTAAGGGAAAAAATTATAGGAATACTGATTTCATAAGAATTTAAAATTAAAACTTTCCACAAATCTAAAAAATTACCTATTTTGATTATTTTCGTTAATCCTTACACCTGCATTATTGGGAGAAATGTTACTGTATGAAGTAGGTGAAAACTGAATGTTATCTTGACAAGGAAGAGAAACTTGTATAAAACCTCCTAAAGACAGAAAAACAGTTTTTCTTTTAATATAAAATGAATATTTCTTATATGGAAAAACTTAAGTGTAATGTCTTTAATTCTAAAGACATTATACTTGTGTATGTGATAAAATACTTAACTGCAGAGGTGTAGAATATTTTCAGAACCCAAAATTGCTCCAAAAAATTATTATAAACAAAATAAAAACAATTTATGAACCAATTAATAGTTTGAAAAAATCAAATTAAATCATGCAAATAATTAAATAGGCCTACTATATAATTTGCTGTGCAATACTAAACTGATAATGTAAACAAGTAACATTTCAGTAACCAAGAAGCCAGAAAAAAAAACACTCACTTCAAAAAGCAAATGTTTTCATCCATTTTTAAAAGGCTATCTTCAGGCTGGTGTTTTAAATTGAAATCACACAATTTTAGAATGGATCTTATCTCTACATTGCCATTGCTTTTTTCTTGTGACTGTCTTGTAAATTTCCATTAACTCCAGATATAAAGTGGCCACAAGAAAAGAAAAGCCATCAACTATAAAGAGGATAGCAAAATTCCAAACTCATGGAAAATATATATCCATTCGTCAGAAATCTCACAATGTCAACATGATTCAGTCGACCCTCCTATAACACGGTAGATACTTTCCTGTTTTTATGAATCCAGCTTCTAGGAGTCCAGCCACATATGCAGTTTACGAACTACAGCTGTTTGAAAGGTTTCTTCCGTAAAATTAATCGATTCTAGACTAATTCGACTCAACATTTCCAAAATATGTATAATTTTTTGGGAATAATCCATATAAACTATGCTATAAACAAAAAATTGTAGGTTTACTTACCGAGTGTGCACTGTTCGACTACGCCATTACTTAAACTTGTTTTCGTCATGGAGATTGTCATCGAATGGCGTTCGCGTGCTTCCTAATAAATTATTTTTTTCGCGAAAAATTCGCTGAACTTTAGAGACATCATTAATATAAATATAATTTTTATGGACATTAAATAATAAATGGTTTTTGGCAGGTCCGCTGCTCGATTAAACTCAACGGTTTGTGCAATCCTGTTGCGACACGAGTCGGTGATAACGTTTTACCAAATTATAGGAGTTTTTTTAGCGTGTTTGTATGAATACTGTCGCAATTTTTTCACCATGATATAGGAATCCGAACTATAAGAACCCATGTTATAGGGGGGGTCGACCGTAATTACATTTCCAATCAGAGATGGTCAACTATCCTCCAATCAGCAATGGCAGCTGAGATTATCATCAGTTCTAAAATCATGCAATTTTAATTTAAAACACCAGCCTGAAGATGGCCTTTTAAAAATGGACTAAAACATTTGCTTTTCAAAGTGAGTGGTTCTTTTGTTGGTTTCTTGATTACCAAGTAGAACATTCAGAACGATCCTCATTTTTAGCATGGGGGCTCTAACTTTTTTGATGTCCAAAGACAAAATTTATTTATGACAATAATCTTGTACAATTTTTTTATGAAAAATTATGTAAGAAACATACCATTTTTGCAAAAAACAAACAAACTTTAAAAAACGTTTTTGACTAAAGTTTTCATTATCATTATTATTATTATTTCTTTGAAAATGCAACCATACTTTTATAATGTTTAAAATACATACTGATGTTAACATTTTTTATTTTATAATAAATGCTTGAAAAAAATATGAAAAATAATGTTTATAAAATGATAATAGAATTTCTATTTAGTTATTTGATCAAGAAAAAGATTTTACCTACAGTTCACTAATTTACAAATTTTCTGTATGGGAAATGAGTGAATATTTGGGTTTAATTCAAGTAAACAAGAAATTTCGCCCATTAAATAGTATCAACAAGAGTTTTTAAATAATAATAAATTTTCTTTTTCAGTTCTTTATAAAGCTCTGTTTTGGTTTTGGTTTTTTGTAAAAATCAAAACAGTGATTCCATAACAAAGACCAACTCATCCTTACTGCAAGGGCACACCATGTAAAGAAGCAGCAATGTATTGATTACAAGTGACTAAAAAGCAAACATTTCAATTTCATTTTTAAAATACAAGATCCCTGAATTTTGGTGAATTTCCCAAAATTAACGTCTATAACTTAGTCAAGGTGCTATCATTTTTCTAGCTATTGCTATATTATTTTTTCTACAGCAAATTCCTTGGAACTGCTTAGATTTCACCCAAATCTCATTCATGCAATTTGACATATTCTGCACCTCTGCTTATCTGTACAATAATTATTATTTTAATAGTATCTGATAAAATGCTCTCACAAAATAATTTCTTCTTATGAAATGAAATTATCATTATAAATCAAAACATTAAAAAAAGCAATTATTTTTAATCTAATTTCATAAATTACAATAGTAAATCTTCAATATTTCATTACAGTACTGTTGAAATTATGAAATTATTAATAATTTTGGCATTTGAGAATCATTATTAAATAATAATATTATAATATATATAATAATTATATATATGTTGTGACAATAAATTTATCAATTAAAAAAAAAAGAATTCTATAAGAAACATTTTCATTTTTTTTTTTAATAATTGTATTCTATATAAAAAACAAAAATTTCTCAGTTAATATAATACATTTTCCATATAACTCCATAATGTTATATAGTTTCAACTGACTTAATTCAAACAGTTTTTAATGTTTCTTCAATGTAGCAAATATAGTTTCTTACATAGTTTAAACATTTTTGATCAAGATCAAAAATGTTGAAACTATGTAAGATTCTTGCATGCGTGTGTCAGTTTTAAATTAAGATTTACTGAACAGAACATATAACATTATTAATACATACTTGGTTTTCTTGTCTTAATGATTTTAAAATTATATACCACATTTTCTCAAATAAACCATGGGTTGAAAAAGAATGGAAAACATGTTGAAGTATTACAAAGTATAGGAAAATGTAGTTTAGAGTGAAAGGCAAGAAAATAACTAAAATTCTACTTGTTGAAGTTGTCTAGAGTTAAACAGCCCATTTTATTCCAAGGTTCACAGGAACATTTTCAGAAATAAAATTATAAATATTGTCAAATATTCATCAAGGAAAAGTCATGATTTTGTTCATAAATCAAGAGTTTATAAACCAAAGGATAATTAAGAGAACAGTGAGATAGTGAGTTTGAATCAGATGGTAGTCAAGATCCTGATTCTGACAAGACATCTGAACAGGCACAAATGACAACATAACAACTGAATTGGAAAACATGAAAGTTAGCTATAAAAATAGTAATTTTTTCAAATGTTGTAGCTGTAATCCATAAATATAATCAATAAACGATTATAATAGTTCTGAAAATGTATAGGGTATTTCTTTCAGTTTTTGTCTATTTGTCTCCTATTGCAAGGTAACAAACCGTGGCTACAAAAACCCCAGGACTTCAAATAATACAGTATATATTAACATGAATTCTTTAAATAAATTGACAGAAAAATTAATTTTACTATTATTAATTTATAATAATACAAATATTTGTTAATCTACAGAATAATAAATAATATTTTTCAATGTATCAATACATTCCTAAGACATAAATATAATTCATTAGTAAAATTATACATATATGTAAAAAAAAACAAATTAAATATTACCTTTTGTATCATCTGAAGTCTGTAGCATAAAAGAAGGTAAAATGTATTGGACCTGTCCAACATTTGATTGTGGTACAACTTGCATCTGACTAGCAGACATTGCGACAACTTGTCCACTCATATATCCTTGAGAAGGTATTTGATTGGCTGGTTTCAATACAAAGTTTGTAACAACAGAACTAGTAACACCATGAGTAGATGTACTTAAATTGCATTGTTCATGAGTGAGTACATTAGTATCTATTCTATTTTGAGAGGTACCTACATTGGGTGGACTGATAACCATATTATTCTGATTATCTTTTGTATTGCAGGCTGTCCCTAAATTTGATTGAGTTTTTTGTAAAACATTGTCTATTGAATTACAAATAACTGAAACTGGACTGGGAACATTCTTATTCAAATTATAGAGAGTCTGAGTTGAACCAGTTTCATCAAAAGTAACATTTGATGGTACAGAAAGTGTATTTTTCCTACAAAGTTTGTCTATATTTTTTAGATCACTTTGTTTGTGATTGGGAGACATTTCTTGTTTTCGTATATTGCATTCTATATTATGAGAAGTGGTAGAATTAATTGAAGTTTGGGACTGGGGTGGTGTTAATTGAATAAGAGGACTCCTGGACATGGTTTGATTAATACCACTAGCATCTCCTTGCACATGATGTTCATCTCGAATAAGTCTCTTATTGTTTCTGTCACTGTGATCTTCAGGTACATAAGTAAAACTTTCCACTCCATTAACTTTTGGTGACTGAACTTCTTTAAACACTGCACCAGTAGGCCGAAAACTGGATTGTAGAGAAAGAGGTCTTGAGACAGATATATTTTCACTGTTATTGTTGAAAAACAACCCTGTAGATGAATTTACACAAACCACAGAAGATTGTGTTGTGTGAGGTGTTGTCATTGGAGGAAGTTTAATAGGTTTTGGACAACAAGGTACTTCAGATGACTGATTATGAGTCATCTTAGGAGAAAATCGCTGCTGTGGGAAAGCCTTGTTAATATTATAAGGTTCATCATCAGTCTGGCTATCATTATCACTTTCTGTAACTTGTTCCTTACATTCAAGATCTATAACTGGAATATTGTGATTGGAAACACCTTTAAAAAAAATTAAATATTTAGACTCAAAACAAACAATAATAGAATAAACTAGACTAAAAGTTATTAAATTTATAAATAAATACAGTGGAACCTCGTTATACGACCTTAATCCATTCCTGGTGTTTGGACTTATACCGAATAGGACGTATACCAAACCAACCTTTCCCATAAGAAGTAATGTAAAAATGATTAATCCATTCTCATGTAAAAAAAAATGGCTGGCTTTAAACACCTCGCTTTCCTGGCTAGTTCCTGCTTAATTTTTCATGAGATCAACATGTATCTTTTTAGCTTTCTCGCAAATAATTGCTTCTGATACGCTGTCGCCAGCACACTGTTTTTCAGTTATCCAAAGCAAAAGCAATGATCTAATGTCTTCAATCTATGTTTAGAAATTGATTTAACCCCTTTCGCAACATTAGCAAATTTAATAATTTTTTTTCACATTTTTTTTTTCACTTTATTTTTCACAATTGTCGATATCGTCGTTCTCGGAATACAGTAGGCAACAGTTAAATCTCGAACACGCATGCCACCTTCATATTTCTCAACAATCTCTTTTTTCAGTTCCATTGTGATTTTAGTCTTTTTTTTTATTTTTCTGTTGCCTTTTTGGAATTCATGATTAATAAAAATAATAAAATTTTACTTACAAATTAAAATAAAAAGAAATTTAACAAAGTTATAAACTGTGGCACCACAAATGTCTAGCCTTGTCTAATACACCGAAAGTGCTACTTGTTCGTAGATGGCATGTATAATTGAATTAAGTTGTATACGAGCAAGATTTGTTTCGTCCAAACAGGACATATTCCGAATTAAACGTATTCTAAAGCAGGCGTATACCGAGGTACCACTGTATATGTAAATATAGGAAATAAATATATATTTTTTAATATTACAGTAGAGCATCGATTATCCGACTCAATTGGGAACTCAGGTTGGTCGGATAACTGAAAAAATCGGATAACCGAAAAGAAGAAAAAAAATACATTATTAGTATAGTATATTAGGATATTAGTATATCCCATGTAATTAGTTTATTAGTATATTGCTATTAACCAACTTTGCGTTGAATTTTCATCAATGTTTAGCCTAACAAATTTTTTAAAATAATAATCGTCGCTATTGTATCGTTAAAAATTATTTTAAAATGATTTTATTGCTCACAAAACAACCACTCATAATTAGAAAATTAAGTCTCGTTTAAATACTGGCCTCCCTTCAATGGTCGAGCTGTGTTGCCAGCTAAAACACGCAAAAATTTAACAAAAATAATAATAAAGTAACCAAGACATAGCCAAATATTGTAGTGTCACATCACTAGCAGACATTTGAAATTTACCAAATAGAACGGTTGGTTAACCGATGTGATGGTTAATCTGGGGTCGGATAATTGATGCTCTACTGTATATTGAAAATTTCTTTGCAATGTATAATCTAATATCAGAATATGGCTAATTTTTATAGTATAAGACAACAGTGGATCTTGTATTTCTTTTCTTTTATCAATTTACATTATTTATTCTTGCTTAGTAAATCGAAAGAAGAAGAAGAATCTATTCTTCTTCTTTCGATTTACTAAGCAAGAAGCAATATGAATAATTCTCATGATTCTAAAAAAAAGCATAATCGTGACGAACTCTCAATTGAGAGAGTCCATTATTTATTCTATTAAAGAAAAAAATATTAAGATAATAATAATAATAATAATAATTTGTAATTTCATGATAAATCTACGATTAATTATGAAGGAATTTCAATAGAAATACAAAGCATGAATACCACATTCCACATTCATAGGTGTTTTATTATCTGTAGTTTTATGAATAATGTAACATTCATGAATCTTTCAGCAGATAGTTGAGGCAAATACTAATATTTTGTTTTTCTTCAAATCACATTGCATCATGGAAAGTTGTTGTTTGAAAGTTGTTAGTGCAGGCAAAAAGCATCAGATTCTATGACTCATGAGAATCAATACTCTTATACTGAGAACCAAATTTTAACACACAAATATCAAATACAATTCATTCTATTATACATAAAATTTAGTGTAAAGTTTTGTTATAACATGCTGCTGATTTCAAATTTAAGGCAAATATTACAGATGAAAGAAAAGAAGAAAGAAACGAAAAAGAGAAGATCAATTATAAAGATATATAACCATAATATAAGTTTTCCTAATAAGTTTTCAGCGTTGTTCATGATTGATATAATTGTTGAAGCTGCAAGACTAAAACTCTATAACATCAACCAACTACTCTCCAGCTTCCATGCAACAAATCATCTTTATCTTTTCATCAATTGTAATTATACAATTTTTTTACTACTTTCAGCTCCACATTCTAATGCACACTTTGTCCCATAACAACTAATTTGCCTCAATTTGCTTTTGCACTCCTTTCAAAATCTGGGCTATTCACTACAATTTGATCAATGATTTCAGTTATCTTACCAAACTTTCACTAAGGAAATCTGTAAAAAAATTTTTTGGGTTCTTCGTTTTCAGAATCTCTATTTTCCATTTCCACATGAATTTCATGTTCTGCCAGTTCTTGAAGGTCGTTGTTGGTAAGGCTCTCATCAGAAACCTGCTGTAACTCCTCAATATCCTGCTCATCTATATCTCCTAATCCCGATATATCGATTAGGTTGAGTTTGATCAACCTAACGATATAGCGATAGCTCTTCTCGCTATATCAACCTCTTCTTGGGAATTCTTGGATACCTTCGGCCATAACTTCTTCCACACTTTGTGCAATTCCTACATTTATCAGTTAATTTTTGCCAAGCAAAGTCGATATCTCCTATGGCATCCGTGATGTAATATTTTTTCCAAAATAGCACCAAACAAACAAGATTTAAAGAAAGTACATCTTTGTGCCACCTTTGCTGATTGGTTTGTGTTTTCAAATAATCGTATTATATATGAATCAATAAAATGCCACAATAATTTTAATCAGTGTAAATTTTGAGCTTTTTTTAGGTTTCGAGCAGACTGCGTTATATCGAATCAGCATTAAGCAGGATCTTACTATATATTGAAAACAAAGTCATGGACTCCTACTTTTACTTTCCTAGCTCTGTTGTAGATAACAGAGGGAAAGTATGGCAATTGATCAAAAAATGATCCCCCCAAGATTTTTAGATTTTTGGACTTAGAGAACCTTGAAACATCAAAAAATGCAAAAACATTCAGAGTTTTTTTTCAACATATGGATATAAATATGTGTGTGTGTTTGTGTATGACACAATTTTGTTTACCCTCTTTGTAGCTTAATAACTCCTGTGTTTTTAAAAATTTCTAAAATTTTGTAGGAAGGTTTGTGTATTAGAAAGATCCATGCTACTAAATTTTGGTGGTTTAATGTCAATGGGTTGGGAGATAAAGGATGGTCATGTGTCATGTCTTGAATAGGATCATACTTAATGATAAATACTCATTATTAGCATTTACAATTTTTTATAAAACCCATCCCTATCCTCAAAATTAAGATTTTTGTCATTTTGTAATAATTAAAAATGTAAGCAGGTTTTTAATGAAATATTTTAATAGACAGTGCCACCAAAATTTTAAATGTTGCCGGAAAAGTTAAGCAATTTGTTGTTGGATTTTTTACATTTAAATGGACCCACGTTACATTCCTGGATTCCTTGTCTCAATTAATGAAAAATGGCAAAGTTTAATCAAACTCTATCAAATGCATTTTGAGAACAAACACAATTTTGTAAACCTTGTAGAAGACGCTTTGCTAATGCTCTGCTTCAATAAAGAGGCTTATAGTTTATACAAATGCATTAAAATGGCAATACAGTAGAGCGTCGTTTATCCGAATCAATTGAGGACTGGGGTTGTTCAGATAACTTATTTTTCAGATGTATGAAAAAATATATTAATTTATCCCGTGTTGAAAATTTTCTCCGTTGCGTGTCGCTTCGTGTTGAATTTTCATCGATGTTAAGCCTAACGAAGACTATTGTGTCATTAAAAATTATTTTTTTATTTTGTACAAACAAAATAAACATATTGAAAAATATAAAAACAATAAAAATTATACTTCAGAAGTTAATTTAGTATCAAAAACATAAAATATTTGAGTAGCCGAAGACATAGCCAAAGATTACAGCGCCACAGCACTGGCGAAAATTTAAATTTGTCGACTGGAATTCCTTCGGATAAACGACGCTCTACTCTAGTTACATTACATAATAGTGATACTACTGTAAGATGTACAGACTAATATAGGTAAATAAAAAGTTTTATTATACAATCATGAAATTGTTGGCAAGATTTATAAATATTTTTAACTGATCTGGAAAACAAAGTTTGTTAAATCAGCATCCTTTAATTGTCAGATCACAGATTTGAATCCCATTCAAAGTACATTCAAATCTTTAATGGATATTTGTGTGTTATCTGTTTTAATGAGAAATGGGTTTAGGTAAAGTCATTGTGATAACAGTATATTTCACAAACAGCATATTAAAGTTATAAGTAATGTCATGTTTCACAAATAATAAATGGATAAACTCATTTGAATTCACCTATATAAGAAATTTTTAATGCTATTTATGGCTATTAGAATATGCCTACATTAAGAAAAAAATACAGTAGAACCTCGATTATCGGATTGTTCAAAATAAACAAAAATTTTACGAATTTGCTGATTTGCACTTGGCGAATTACGACACTGTTTATGTACGTGATGGAACGCATAACTTTTTTTGTTTCAACAATGTCTCACCCAGTGGTCATAAACTTTTAAATATATTTTACATCATAATAAAAATATAACTTGACATACGTATTTATAAATAATTTATACTCAAATTACATCATTTCTATAACCAAGGGCGGCTTAAGGCATGGGCAACGTGGGCCACCACCTACGCCTCGCGGTCCGAAAGGACCTCGCGCCTTGAAGGTTATGCATTACTTAAAAGCTGCGAACGTGACGAAAAAATTTTACTCGTCATAAAACGATAAATAGTTTGTCAAATTTTTATTCATAAAAATGCAGTTTTAACTGCTTTTTATTTTATAAAATCCGTTTTCTTGCGCCACCAGAGGGCCTTTTAAACAATACGTGGTCTGTTAGCGTTGGTCAGTAGTAGTCGAAATTCAATACAAATATTTGTTTCTTGAAAATTTGATCATGATTTAAATACAGTATTTACTTTTAATATTACCGATATGTCATCGAAAAGAAAACGTGTTGTATTATCATTAAAAGACAAATTAAAGTATTTGTTTCGATTATCTGGATTTTTCCTTATCCGGACTACCTTCATCCCCAATTAGTCCGGATAATCGAGGTTCTACTGTATTTTATTCATCATAAATGATTTTGATAGAAGTTGCCAAAAAATTGTATGAAATACATCTTTAAAATTCCCATCTATAGATGACAAGAATTTATGAAAATATTCCTTTTATCCTTTGGCAACTGAAATTCTCTAGATTTAGGTATGAACCCTTAGACATGGCAAATACTGCAATAGATATGTTTAAAAACTTATTAATACATATATGTGAAAATTTTTGTTTCAACAAAAATGAATAAAAATTCCTAAATAAATAACAAAAAAGTTATTCAGACTTATTTATTTAGTTTTATTTTTTTTTTTTTTTAAAAAAAAGCCAAAATAATGATAGCAATCTCAAGACAGCAGAACCACTGATTTCAAACGGAAACATAATGGTTGTTGTCAATAGTCTTGTTCAAGATGGAACAAAATTTATATGAGGGGAATCAGCGGAGAACAGTGGAACAAATTCAAATATTTGAAAATTTTAAAAGATCCAAAATAGTTTGAATCTAAAGAATTTTGAATATATAATCCTCAACCTTAATTTCTTTTGAAATGGCCTAAATAATATACAGTAGAGCATCGATTATCTGAATATTGATCAACCGAAACAAAGGTTAACAGAAAGCATTCCAATTGGCAAATTTAAATTTTCAGTAGTGCTGTGGTGCTACAATATTTGGCTATGTTTTGGGCTACTCCAATATTATTTTTGTTGGTGTGCATGTTTTAGCTGGTAGCACTGGCACAACCATGAAAGAGTACTTAAAGACGCACCAGGATTTGAACGAATTTCAACATGAGATAGGTTAATATATTTTTTCATACATAATCGGTTATCCGAAAAAACGATTATCCAAACAACCCCAGTCCCGAATTGTTTTGGAAAATCGATGCTCTACTGTAAATCAAAAAGATCTTAATTTTGTACATCTTATAATACATGTCAGATTTTTTAAGGAAAAGATGAAAAATATAATCATATTTTGTCTATGCTGACCGATTCCAAATAAGATGCAAAATGTTAAAACACTCAAAAGATTTATCAAAACAAGGAATTATTGTTAAGTTTAGATATAACATTTCTTCTTATCATGGAGACAAATACATATATATTAAACATCATTTTCAAAATTCTAAAATTATTTGTGCTGTTAACTATTATTTTGCAATTGTAAGATTTATAAATAAAGTAATTACACCATAAAATTAAATTTTTCATAATTACTACTATCTAATTAATTAGAAAATAAAACACAAGCTTGGTCAAGCCGATCTCATAGCATGTTCCACAAAAGCAAATCAAATATTAATCTTGTTTAAAATAAATTTTATAAATTCTTGTAATCAAGTAGTTGTTGCGCATGCACATGGTCATGCACAATAAATGGATTGAATGGAACGTAATACTTGGGTGATGAAAGTGAAGTCATTGCACATGCATGTGGAAATCTGACAGATGGACAACATTGCCAGACGGACAAAAGTCCTAATATAAGCACTTCACCACTATAGTGAAGCATGCTAAAAAGTTACTTTAAAATCCCAATGATGCAAACATCTGAAAGAACTTATCCAATTTATCAACAGTAATAACCAATTTCATTAGTTTTGCTTGATTCACAAAATTATTTAGGCTATAATCTTACCTTCTGTTTCTTCCTCACATATAACCATATTTTCATCATCACTCAGTTTTTGATCTTCTAAAATGTCAATTTTCTTCGTATTTTTATTCAACTTTTCATTGTTATGAACATAAAATTCACTTTCCTTTGTGAGCATTTTATTTCCAACATCTGGCAAAATTTTGGACTTGGACTGTTCTGCATCCCTGTTTCCAAGTTCTGAATGCCAGGGGTCAGGTAATTGAGAAAGAGAATGAGATCTTGGACGTTTCTGTAAAAACAAATTGTCAAAGTATTAATATGAATGTGTTTTCTTTTCCAGATAATTATTATTAATATTTCAGTTTTGGATTTATTCTGACACTTACTTCTGCATGAATAGATGCCTCTGTATTAAAGTTTCTATTTGTTAATTCTAAAACAGATTTAGCAGTCTGGTCTGAAGAATCAACTGGTGGTGTTTTTGAAGTTTGGATAGGAAGAGCTAAATTTTAAAAAAACATAAACACGCATTTAATGAGGAATTAAAAATTAACAAATACAATTTATTAAATTCTTCTACATTTAAAAGTTTCAGTGCCAAAAACACGAATGTAACATCCAATGTTTATCCAATTGCATGCCAGAGGTTACCACACAAAGTCCAACATCTTCCTATACATATCATTAGGTATAGAACCATAAGTAACTAACTCTAAATTTTGCATTTTTTTTTAAATAATAGAAATATTCTTATTATATTCAACATATTCTATTTGTGTTCTATGTTATATCTATGATCACAAAAAGATATGTAGAATCCCAAATGATTACATAAAATAGCAAATATTTGGTTGGTCTGATTTTTGTGAGGTCTTTTCGACCAGAGGCCGAACCATTGACCAAAAATCTGTGTTAAAAGAAAAGTTGTTTTGAGTAAAATGTGTTCGATAAATAAAATATCACAAGAGAGCGGATTGGAAATACGACTAATTTTTCCCAAAATCACAAAAACAGGAAGATAGTATGTATAATAAAACCAATTGTCATGTGGGTGCAGCCAAGGATATTTACTGCCAGGGTAAAAACACTTGACTGTGACTTATAAGCAGATTCATGACGAAATTCAATAAACAATTACGGCAGATGTCTGATCTCTAAATTCTGCCTAGACTGGCCCTGGCAATAACTAGGGACCAATCAGAAAGGTAGAGAATGGAGATTACGACCAACCAGAGTGCCGATCAGGGATGCAAAGCCTTTAAGAGGCTCAAATCCAAGGACAAAAATGCTTTTCCCTTGATGGTTTCATTCACAAGGATAACCAATTTTTCACCACCTCACCAGACCAGAGATCATCCCACAGACAGAAGAACGGAATTCCGAAGTAAGGAACTCTCTGGCCGGGACAGAGAAACCTTTATCTGGAATATGAGAACCAGAAAACTGTGTTCTTTGTACTCTCCATCTGGAACAGTCTGTGAGAACACCAAGAGGCCAAGGAAGAGAACCAACTGGGAAACTTCCATCGCAAATATCGCAGCTTGTCAAGATACTATGCGTCAGATTAGTTTAAGTCACAAAGGAGATCTCCTGTTTTGTGTAAGATGCTTTTTGGTATATTAATAAATGGGTGTTAATTGTAAACAGAATTCATATCTGTGTCTAACACCACCACCCACATATGCTGTTCACACCTTCTTGCCATCTTGAATGATGCCTCCTTCTAAATTAAGGGAGTGTCAATCTCAACTCTGGAATATTGGGTCTGTGATAAACTTATTGTGGGAGTCATCCACATTTTTAAATCCTATGTTATGAAAATTATGGTTTCACAGTTAGCTACCTAAGGTTCTATACCTAAGATATGACTATGATATTTCACTTAGTCACAATTACTAAAATATAAGGTTGAAGAACGCCCATAAGAGATGTGTGAAAAAAGCATCTAGAGACAAATTTTGCCACCAGGGCAGAACTGCCAGCAAGTCAGATCACGATTAGCTATATTAACATACCTGCTATAGCAGGTATGTTAATATAGCTAACTGTGAATATAATATAGCTAACTGTAAATATAGAAATTGATTGGTTTTGATGTAATAAACATCAAATGCCTTCTAAGTGCTGTATTCCGGGATGTAAAAGTGGCTGTGCCTCTTGTAAAGAAAAACATACAATGTTTTCATTTCTGAGAGAGCTAGAAAAACAAATTGCATGGAGAAGTGTAAGGAACCAAGTCCGAGCGTTCTTTTTAGTTACTTTTATTTTGCTTTTATTATATTTTTGTTTGGGGCTTATGTTTAGTTAGGACGAAGGTTTCCTCACCCGTCACCTTAGAAAGTTAAAAAGAGAATATAAAACCAACTCACCGATGAAAAACGAAAGCGTCATAGCTAACATTCGCACTCATGTGTACGCCTGAGCGGCAGATAGTAAGCCTGCACTGAAAGGGGGGGGAAAGACCCCACAGACTTTTAGGAACTTGTTAAACCTTAAAGGAAACATCCCGATAATTGTTCAACAAAAGATTGTAAAAGGTTAACAAAGTATTGTCGGAAATTAAGCTACCAGATAAATAAGAAAAAAGTGAATGTTACATGTAAGTATGTAAATGAGGGAAGTGTCTCACGTAGAAACTGTGACATCACCTCAGACTATAAATAGCGTAGCTCAAGTGAAGATGGGAGAGGTGAGCTCCTGCAAGGAATAAGCATTGGTCTGCTAGTAGCAGTGAACGAGGTGTCCAATAGGAAATAGTCCAAGGCGATTGCAGTATTTGATTTGTGGATCGAGGAATAGGAAAAGTCTTGAGTTAAGAAAAAGGTTCCTAGTATAATTGAGGTGATGGTTAGGATTTGTAGTTGTAAGAAATTCTGTACTTAAGTTAAGGATTGATTTTGTCGGAATCCCAAGGGGAATAGTTCTAAGTTAGAATAAGATTGTGATTTTGTCGGGTTGACTTTTGGATTTGATTTGATTGAATAAACTTGTTGATTTGAATAACCTTGTTGATTGAATAAACTTGTATATATATTGTAAATAGTATTTCTAGATTTTTATTAAATATTTTTTGAATTTTGACTAACTTGTCCTTAATTTACTTCGGTGCACGCGAAAAGTCCAGGCCTGGCAACTAACAAACGCGAACCCGCGTAAAGTACCCGTTAGGTAAAGGCTCTGATACTAGAATTGTTGTAGAGNTGTGATTTTGTCGGGTTGACTTTTGGATTTGATTTGATTGAATAAACTTGTTGATTGTTGTATATATATTGTAAATAGTATTTCTAGATTTTTATTAAATATTTTTTGAATTTTGACTAACTTGTCCTTAATTTACTTCGGTGGACGCGAAAAGTCCAGGCCTGGCAACTAACAAACGCAAACCCACATAAAGTACCCGTTAGGTAACAGCTCTCTGATTATAAGAATTGTTGTAGAGCGGTCTGATAAAATAAATTAGTACTTTGCAGAAGGAATATACCAAGAGTCTTTGAACTCACCCAGAATGGTACAATTGCAGATGTGAATGACACTTTTGGAACTTTAACAGAGCTATAGAGATTGCCCATAGGAGAAAAAAAGTCAAAGGAACCAAGCCTCTAAATGTAACTCTTTGCCAGATATAGTATCCCAAAATCAGCTGCAAGTGATCATGAGTCACACAGCACACAGCACACTTTGCTAAGACTATCATGTTTAACTATTTAGCTCACATGACTACGAGCAAAATCTTCAAACCTGTTACTAAGATCTTCTCCCACGACAACAAAAAACACAAAAAATAAATAAATAGTTTGTTACTAACGTTTTTGAACCAAAAAAAGGCCGGCTTGAACCACATGACTAAGCCAGATCCAAGTAGCCCACTTGACTGTTCATGGAATACTTGATGTTATATATTTTATGGGGGTATGGAACTCACCCCCACCTGGTCAGTAAGGTGTGAGTGATAGCAAACACTGAAGTGCACAATTACATACAGAGTGTTGGTCAAGCCAGGTGATAGTGAACCTTGACAACACGATGCATGGAGAAAAGGCAGCAGTACTACTAGTACACGGAAAAACTGTTTTCAGTTTCAGTAGAAGTTCCCTTTGTTACGACAACATATCATCAGTTTGGCTTCAGCAGAAACATATGAAATGACCATATTTCATCATTTTAAAAATGTTTAATTTTAATAAAAAATTCCATTTATAAGCTTGCAGCACTTCTAATGTATGTAAGTTATATATATACAAGCAGATAAGCCCGGCGTTGCTTGGGCAAAAAGTAATGACAGTGAAGATTAAGATAATTACATTACAGTAGAACCTCGAAAACTCGGCTCTCGATAACCCGGCACTCCGGATAACTCGGCCCCACCCTGACAGGGCAAAAAAATCCTTAGTTAATTAATTTTCATTATAGACAGCTTTATAAAAGTATAAAAGCTCTCATAAAGTATTTTTCTGAGGTCTGTCTTATCAGGTAAATTACTGTACACAGTGTATTCATTAATTTTCATTTTCATGTAGTAAAGGCTCTATGCCTTCATAAAGGACGTACTTTTCGTTTGTTTAAGGGTATTTTGGCAGTTTATTTTCTGTTATATTCTCAAGTAAACAATACGTACAAGTACAGTACAGTATTTTCTGAGGAAACACTCGTACTTATTTTTTTTAACCCCATTCTCGATAACCCGGCATTTTCACAAACTCGGCCACCCTTCGGTCCACATTAGGCCGAGTGTTCGAGGTTCTACTGTATAGCCAATCTTACCCGTTTTCACAGAATGCAAGAATTAGGTCCCCTGTTTCCAGATTTATTAGAGAATTTTTACATGGGTCTAAAAATATGTCTGATTTCCCGCAAAAACGCATCTGCAACTGTAAATCTTGCATGCCGCTTTCTCTTAACACTTCCATTCTTAAGGAATACCCTCCTTTCATCCCCCGTAGTACCCTACTAAAACGCAGTCAAAAACACAAAAAACCGCATCTAAAATAGTACAATAGAAGCAGAGTTCTTCACAGTAAGCCTTAATCCTCTCCCTCTCCCCATGAAGAGATTTCAAAAAATCCCTTAGTGTGCATTCTCGTGACGTACCGTAACTTTGTACCAAATTTCAACTTTCAATCCTAACTGTTTAACCTCTGTGCTTATTATTATTATTATGTTGGGTTTAGTGGGTTATACTCGGTTCACACCAGTGGCTGTGTACTATGCCAGACCAGAGTCAAGGCATAGCAACCAAAAACTAAAATTAAATAACTATGTCAGTGTCTGTATTCAGGAATTTCCTAACAATGTGGCATGTATTCAATATAGTGGCCTTCTGTAGTGTGATGTATGTATTTCTGCTCAATTGTAATGTTCCCAGGCTTTTGTGTAGTGTGTGGTATCCTGTACAGGAGAAAACGACAGGTACAATAAGCACCCTATCCATCCTCCATAGATGCCTTATTTCCTGGGCGAGTACTGTGTACTTGCTAATTTTTTCAGTGCATGTGTTTTGTACATTGTGAGTGTTTGGAATGGCTATGTCTATAATGTATGTGATTTTATTGTGTTTGTCAATGAGTGTG